GAGCCAGTGCCGCCCCCCCAGCGAGTGGGTCAGTTGGAAGCCCTGCAGACAGTCACAGCTCTCTGCCTCCTTTCTTACCACATCCAGCATGGAGTCCACCAGCTCAGCTCCCTCTGTGTAGTGGCCCTTGGCCCAGTTATTCCCTGCACCACTCTGGCCTGCCACAGGAAAGAGAATATGAGACACAAACGGACAAGGATTCTGGATGCTGTCATTTGCACTGTGGAGAAGGTGGGACTAGTCTTACAAAACCTTTTAGATATGCTTTGGTTACCTAAGACTGTCTGCAAGACTGAATGTTATCAGTGAACCTCAAAATTGCTGGGGATCATCCTAAGGTGAAAAAAAAAAAAACAAGTTGAGGAAGAGAAAATATTTAACTAAATTCAGCTGCCTCGGCAATTAGGGGAACATTGTTCACTGCTCTCATGCAGTACGATTAGGCAAGAGGAAGGCACAGTGTGATCAGAGGGAAAGAGGGACTCTAGGCAGTTGTCTGAATCTTGGTCACAAGCTGTGCTTTTGGCCTTCATTACTTTAATTTGGTTCACTGTTTTCCCTGGTCCCTTCAAGTGACCTGTAGCCTATTAAGCCTCATTAAAAGCTCTTCTTGCTCTTGAGTCTTTCCCTTCAGGGCTTGTTGTAAAGGAGGCTGACATGAAATCCTGAGTTGTCCAGAGTGACCAGAGATATCTCCCCACCCCCATGCAAGGGGTTAGGCCAGGACTGGGGCCATCTGTGGACACAGTCTCACCTGGGCACAGAACACTGAGAACTGTGAAGTGTGTGGCTGTCAGGAAGAAGGTGAGTCACAGTCCCATGGACCATGAGGACATACCAAACACAAAGTTGTCTGGCCTGAATATCTGGCCAAATGGTCCCGATCTCACCGAGTCTACCGTTCCTGGCTCCAGGTCCACTAGGATGGCCCGAGGAACATACTTATTGCCTGCAGGAACAAAAACTCACTTACACCTGTGCTTGGTAAAGAAACATGGGTAGGGTCATAATTCTATGTAATTCTCACAGAAGAATTCATTACAGAAGATTCCAACATTTGAGACAAAGGAATGAAAAAGGGAAAAAGAGAAAAGGGGGAAAAATGCTGTGCATGCTTAGTCGTGTTAAATAAAAAAGGACTATTAAGGAACTATGAAGTCTGTTTTTTGAGGTTGGCATTTTATATGAATGTGCAAAAATGCATTCCTTTGTCATTTCTATGCACCTAGGACTTTTCCTCTGCCACAGTATGGGAAGCAAGTTTAATATGCATATACTCACCAGCTGCTTCATTGTAGTACACATTGATTCTGTCCAGCTGTAAGTCACCATCTCCATGATAACTGCCTGTGGGGTCAATGCCATGTTCATCACTGATGACCTCCCAAAACTGAAATGAAAAAAAAAAAAAATCACTCATGGCCCTGCATCCTGTCACTAGAATGGCCTTGGAATAGTGATCAGAGAGTTAAGAGTGTCAGACTAAGACCAGAGAGCTGGTCTATTTCCCATATCAGTTGCTTCCTAGGGGTTTGGAAGTCTGCAGGGCACGAGCCATATATGGTCACAGACTGATGGGCTGGAAGCACATTGGGAGAGAAGGGGGTGACCAAGAACCTCTTTCAGGAAGCAGTGGGCACAGTGGGGCTGTCCCTCCAGGCAAGTTTGAATGTCCCTGAATCCCTGCTGATGGATGGGTCCCAGGATGGGTTCTAGCAGGACCAAGGATCAAGTGGCCTCACTCCTTGCACAAACCCCAGGCAGCTTTGAAGGGTACAGGTCATTGGCAGCCATGTACATGTTGTCCTCTGGATCCTAACCCTGGCAACGAATGGGTGAGGGAGGGTAGGCATGGTGTTGGGAGGGCATCTGAGTGGCAGAGGAAGAAAGTGGCCATCATGAGGAAAAGTGTGCCCACAAAGGATTGTGTCCCTAGGCAATTTAAAGGTCACTGATTCAAGGCACACCTAGCTCCATCACCATATTCACGGTGGCAGGTTGTTCTGCCTTTGCACACCTGGCAGCTCAAGACCCCAGTTCCCTCCTGGACCGCTGGCCCTGGCATGTGTTACACAGAGTCCACTCCCCAGCGATGTGCCCACCTTGGCGCCGATCTGGTTGCCGCACTGGCCTGCCTGGATGAGCACGATTTCACGCATGATGCCCAAAGCTGGTGAAGGAGCTGAGGTGAAGGCCTCTTTGGAGCGAGAGGAGGCCAGAGCTCTTGGTTTAGGGAAGACTGCCTTAGCCAGTAGCTCTGCTTTTCTATCCTGGGATCCCGCCCAGCCCCAGTGACGTAATGCTGGGCGGGGAAATGAGAGGTTACCTATGAAAGGGATTCAAGTTGAAGGAACAAAAATGCCTGTGTAAAGCCCCAGGTGATGCCCTCATCATGAATATGAATTCTACTTGCAATATTAAGGGTTGATCTATACCAGAGGTGGAAGCGAAAATCCAGTCACCGTGAGGAGTCTCTGGGCGTTAGCTGTGTCTTACTTAGTCCTGCTTTAGGAAGCCAAATCTGGGAGTACTCCCAGCATATAGGCAGGTGTCTGCCTGGTGCCTCCTCTCAGGCTGAGGCTCGATGTCCTGGACTCTGCTCCTACCCCTTTCTTCCTTGGACGAGCTTCTGGGCCTCCACTGGACAGCTTATGTCACTCATACTATTCCCACCTCTCCAGGGCATGGCCTCCACCTCCACACCACCCCTGCCTACAATTCCATACTGTAGCACAGTGCTTACTAATAAATGAGCTTTGAAGTCTCTTGCCCTATGGTAAACACAGGTTCATCTAGTTCTGATGAGCACATCGTTTCCACTCCCAAACAGTAGGGGGTATTTGAGGTGAAATTAAGATGTCCCCAAGTTTCACCTGACCTAGGTGCACACATCTTTTCCTAGTTGTTCAAACAGTAATCTAGGTACTCCTGTTAGATTGTTACAGATATAATTAAGGTTCCCAATCAGTTGACCTTAAGATAAGGAGAATACGTGTACCTCCTCTAATCAAATGAGCCTATTGATTGATAATTAACTTAATGAGCACCAAGGCATGAGTCTGAATGAATAAGCTGATGTTCATGATGTTCTAGGGGGCAAGATCGAAGGATAGCTGTTTAAGATATTTGATTTGTATAACTGCCCTTCATCTCCCCCCTTATTAGAAACAGAGAGTGTTGGGGCTTGCTTAGCATGTGTGAGGCACTGGGTTGATTCACAGTACCACATGCAAGTAAATAAAGATATTGTGTCCATCTACAACTTAAAAAAAAAAAAAGAAATGAAAAGAAAAAGAACCTCAGAACTGACAAGCAGCAGGCTGATATGAATCATGGGAATGAAAAATCACTGTTCCTCAGCTAGTTTCCAGATCTAAGGTGGTTCAAGTCAAAAGCACAGAATGGAAGGGAGGGGCCCCTGATCCTTCCTCACAGGGGGAGTCTTTACTATCCCTTAATGGTAACTACAGAGCGAATAAAGAGGAATGCTCAGAATTTCTAACCAAGATACAGGGTCTGCACTGAAATGGATTCCAAAGGACACAAATCACCATTGTGGCCCATTGATTAAAGTTAGAGTCTTTGTTTTTCCCTTTTTGAAAGTTGGCACTTCTCTATGTTGCCCAGGCTGGACTTGAACTCCTGGGCTCTAGTGATCCTCCAGCTCAGCCTCCCCTGGAGCTGTCACTACAGGCACCACCATCATGCACAGCTTAGAGAAAGGTTTTATGAAAACTGCGTGATAAATGGAGACCTGGCCAAAGTCTATCTCGCAGGGGGTAAAGTGGGTCTGGTCTCACTCTTTATTTCTACAGTCACTGCTTCATCTCCTTGCACTCCTTGGACTGAGACATCTGAAAAACCATGAATCCAAAATATATTTTTCCTACTCTAAGTTGTTCTTGTCTGACTTTTTGGTCCCATGGCAAAAAGCTGACTAACACTCATGGTGAGGATGGATGTTATCAATGGAAAATGCATTTTTGAGAAACACTAAGACCAATGCTCCATTATAATCAGAAAATATGATCATGTTAATGGAATATGAACATGAATGACTCTAGTAAAACCAATCTCACCGACAATTGATGCATTTCGCCTGCAGAGATAACCAGGCATATGGAAAGCCATCAGTGCCACCTCAGCTTTGAGGGCACTCAGATGCATCATTGGTGGATGCACAAATTGGCGGAAGCTGGCCTTGACATTATGCCTGCTTTGTTTTTGTAACTGAGGTGAAATTCACATAACATAAAATTAACCATTTCAAACAATTGAAACATTTCAGTGACATTTGGTGCACCCATGTTATTGTAATCTTTACCTCTATCTAATTCCACAGCATTTCATCATGCTAAAAGGAAACCCCGTCCGTTGAGCAGTCATTCCCTATTACACTCTCCCCAGCCCCAGGCAACTGGGAATTTACCTTCGGTCTTTATAGATCTACCTAGTCTGAACATTTTCCTGTAAGTGGATCATGTGATCTTTTCAGTAGATCCTGTGATCTTTCAAGTCTAGATTCTTTTGCTTACCATATCATTTTCTGGGCTCCTCCATATTGTAATATGTACTTGTTCTTTTTTTTTTTTTATAGCTGAATACTATTTTACTGTGTGAACCTGCTTTTTTTTTGGAGGGGGGGTATCCAGTATTGAAGTGAGGGGCACTTGGCCACTGAGCCACATCCCAGCCATATTTTTTGTTTTATTTATAGATAGGGTCTCACTGAGTTGCTTAGCACTTTGCTGTTGCTGTGGCTGGCTTTGAACTTGCAATCCCCCTGCCTCAGACTCTTGAGTCTGGCATGCACCTGTTTTTTGATCCACTGATTTCTCTTCCGGACATTTATTCCAAGAAAATGATCATGTATTTCTGTATAGAATAGCTATTCGTATTTTTCTGAGATTTGTAGATGGCCACAAGATGAGACTGGAAAAAGTTACAATTCTTATATGTGATGTGGTACTATGAAGGTGTCACCAGTTATGTCACAGGGGATTATTTTGTAGTAGAAAATCAGTAGATCACAAGTTGAAAACTCTTTAAAAAAAGATTATACATTTTTGAGTTCTATATAATTCCATTTTCACTTATTCTTTTTTCCTTTTTAAAAAATTTGTTCTTTTTAATTATACATGACAGTAGAGTGTATTTTGACATGTTTTTACAAAGATGGAGTACATCTTATTCTAATTAGGATCCAGTCTTGTATTTCTACATGATGTGTAGATTCACTATGGTACATTTATATATGTACATAGGAAAATTCTGCCAGATTCATTCCACTGTCTCTCCTATTCCTATTCCTCTCCCTTCCCTTCATTCCCCTTCATCTAATCTATGGAATTTCTATCCCCTCTCTTATTGAGGGATAGCTTCCTCATATCAGAGAAAACATTTGACCTTTGTTTTTTTGGGGGGGGGATTGATTTATTTTGCTTAGCATATAGTCTCCAGATCTACCTTTTAGCAGCGAATGTAGTAAAGTCATTCTTTTTTTTTTTTTTAATGGCTGAGTAGTATTCTGTTGACTCTTTCCATTATATTCTGTTGACTCTTTCCATAACACACATTAGAGTGTGTGTTACTTAGGGAGCATCTATTGCCACAGTGTACCACATACTTTTCTGAATATAAGTGACTAGACCAGACAAAAATTACTGACTCCAGGTAGCTTGCTATCCTCTGGTGTGTTTCAGTTTAGTGGGGGACAATAACCAGGGTTGGATTTTTCCCGAGCCCTCTGCTAACATTGTGCTTTTCAGGATGTGCTTTAAATTGCTGATGGCCTTTGTTTTTTAAGCCCTGTGGTCCCCCTGGCCCTAAGTCAGATCAACCTCTCTCCCCAAATGGGCACTGTGAGCATCCAATGGTGCAGAGGGGAAATGAGGCTCAGGGAGATGAGGATGTTCAAAGTCCCAGCATGGGTGAAGCTGAGAGTGGGTCCAGGTGCACCATCTTGTCCACAAATCTAGGCTGCCTTCCCCTTGACCTTGTGAGAACCCCTGTCTGCCCCATGCACCTGACAGGGAGGCCCAAGAAAGTAGTGGCCAACACATCTCCCCCTCCCACCACCTCTGCCTCCTCACAGCTCCTGAGTCATGTATAAAACATTCCCTGAAACCACTTATTCCTCATGCATTTTCCATGAGGCTGGATCCATGTTTAAACATACAAACATAAAAATATCAAGAAGCACTTTTTTTAAAGGCCATGTTTTATATAATACTAGGAGACCCATTTCTACGTGTGGCCTTCTCCAGAGCCTGCCTCCCAAGGTCATTTGTCCCTTCTGTCCTTCTCCCCTCCTCTGCTACTGGCTCCTCAGTCAACATTGCCCCTACCCCTTCCTCAGCTTCTGCCCATTGCCAAGTTTATTTCCATCTTCCTTTTCTTTCTCCTTTCTTTCTGAATGTGTTTTCCTTTACCCATTGACCTTGCTCTCAAAGTTCCTCTCTGTCTGGGTTTCTACCTTTACTTTTCTGGTTCTTCCTGACTGTGTTTCTCTCTTTCTCTCTCTCTGACTCTTTCTGTTTCTTGCTCTGAGTGAATGTCCCCACTTGGTCTCTGTCAGGGTTTCTCTTGCTACTTCCTGGTGACCCAAAGACTTGAAAGTAATAGATATGACAGCAACACCAAGGATTGGTGACAGTGAGGGGGTAACTGGAACCCTAGACACCGTTGGCGGGCGTGTTAATTGGGGCAACCATTCTGAAGACCATTTATCAGTTCCTGCTAAAGCTGAATGGTAATTTGCCCTATGACCAGATAGTCTATCCCTTGGTATCTTTTGAGGAACAATGAGGGTGAATAACTCCTGAAAAGTAGGGAAAGGAATGTTCATGCCAGCTTGATTCATAAGAGCCAGGAAAACAGTCCCTAGGGCCATCATAGGAGAGTGTAATTGAATTCTAGTCTATTTATACATTGGATACTGCACAGTAATAAGAATAATGAGCTACAACTATACACAAAGATGTAGCTAAAACTCCAAAACTTAATATTTGGAAAAAATTGAATATATACTGCATGATTCTGTTGACATAAATTACAAGGGTACACCAATGGTACAGAATAGAAGACAGAGAGACAAACCCACATAAATACTGTTATGTCAATCTAGACAAAGGCATCAAAAACATTCATCGGAGAAAAG